GTGCCATCTGGAGGGTCTTGGGGATCTTGTTGTTTCTGGTTGTTTCCAGCAATCCCTGGCTTGTGGATGCTTCCCTCCAGTATCATCATGGCCTTGTTCCCCTCCATGTCTTCGTACCTCAAATCCCTCATTGCCTTTCTCTTATAACAATCATTGGATTTTTGGGTGCCCTTCTAAGTCCAGGAAGATCTCACTCTGAGATCCTTAATTACATCTGCAAAATCCCTGTTTCAAAACAGGGCCATATTAACAGGTTCTGAGCTTTAAGATATGACATTTTAGGGGGTGCTACCATCTAACCTACTACACAGACTCAGAATCAATTTCAACTCAGTGTTACTGACAGCTGCTACCAAGTTAGCAATATTGCTACAGAAAATAAAATCTATTTACATTCCTAGGGTGGTAGACATTCATTTTGGTGTCCATATGTGTGCATATGGATAAAGGATAAGTGGATAAAAAGTCCTTATGTATATATATGTATATATGCACACACACATATATACATAGCAATGTGTATATATATATATATGTATATATATATATATATAGCTAAGAAAGGTACCTGCAGAACTATATATATATATATGTACACACACACGTGCACACACACACACACACATACTATATTATCAGTTGGGGGTTCCAGAATCCAATTCAAATGGTTTACATAGAAAGAAAGAAAGAGAGAAAGAAAGAACAAAAGGAGGAACAAAAAAAAGAAAAAGATTAAATGAAAGAATGAAAGGAAGGAAGGAGAGATTTAACCCCCATCCTTACCCCCAAAAAAGTCTTAATGAAGAACTACTTATAAAGGTATAGCTAAGTTGAAAGAAACCAGTAAGATGTTTTGCGTCCTTGTGACTAGCAGCAGTGGAAGCTAATAATACACTTGGGCCTTGGGGAGGGAGAGGAAGGATCATTACGATCAGAATTCCAGTCAAATATGGAGCTGCAGAAGAAACCCTACCTTGGTCTCAGAAGATCAGACACTGCCTGAAATATACCTCTAAGTAGGGAAGGAGTGAGAAAAACACCTAGACCTCACTCCTTCAAAATTCTAATCTGTTGATAGTTTTGGTGGGTTTTTTTTGGCATCCCAACCAGATCCTGTTGTGAGTGTGACTGTGTCTCCAACTTTTCATTTTCCATATGAGGAACTGGGAAGCAGGGAGGGAAGGAGAGTAGAAGCGGGGGGAAGGGGGAGGGAGGGAGGGAAACAGACAGACTAGGGATAGATGAGATATAACCTTCAAAGGGGCATGCCCAGTGACCTGTTTTCTCCAGTGAGGCCCCATGGCCTAATATTACTACCACCTCTCAAAATAGCACCACCAGCTGGGGCCCAAGCCTTCAACACAGGAGTCTGTGGTGACATTGCATTGTAAATGAGAAATTCATGACATCTTAAGAATAGTTGGGGAACAAGTGTTCTGATTAAGTTCAGAAAAATTCCTTTTCTGTATCTCATTTACCTCCTGTCGTCATCATGGCTGTGGTGGACCTATTGGTTGTCATGTATGTTGGGCTACACAAGCAAGAGTGTCCCTTCACCCCAAACAGAGCCACAGTAGAGGAGACATTCTGCATTCAAGTTTCAGTAGCACTGGGCACTGCTCCTGAGCTTTGGCTCTACTACTTGAGCCACAGCACCACTTCTGGCCTTTTCTTTTTATATGATACTGAGGAATCGAACTCAGGGCTTTATGCATGCTAGGCAAGCATTCTACCACTAAGCCACATTCCCAGCCTTCACTAGCACTTTTTTAAAAAGTACACTTGTCATCGTTAAGGAGCCAATCTCTTCCCCACCAATATGGAGAGCCTTCTAAGGAAGCGGAGAGGAAAGTGACAATGCCCAGTGAGATTTAGAAGTAGAGGAAGTAGAGATCTCCCAGGGAGTTCTCCTGTCCCAGAGCTTCTTCTGCTCTGAGAGCCAGGGTTCAGTTCAACAGCACCCAGACAATTTAACAACATTACAGGTGTTTAAGTCCAGAGTTCCAGCTTCCTAGCTTGGACTTACCCTCCAGATGACCTCCCTTGCCTCCTCCTAAGTTCTGAAAACTGTTTCCTCCGAAACCAAACCAGATGTTTTTAGAGAAAGACTTATGTCAGCACTGGAGGTGGAAGGACCTGGTCTCCTGAGATGTTGTTTTTCTGGGCTCAGTATGCTGGGCTGACTTCAGGTCCAGATGTTTTCTAATCAAGTGACAGGCCTTGAGAGTCTCTAGGAGTCCCAGTGGAGGAGCACGGATGCACAGATGGTATGGAATCCTAAAAGTCAGAGAGGGGACTGAATGGTAATGAAGCAATCACTAGGGGCATCAATGGTGTGAGTGACAGTATTCTGTAAGCTCCCAAGTTCCAATCAAGGCTTAGAACCTTTACCTTTTACTTTTCTTTTCTTTTTTGTATATCTCCTCCTTTGGTTTTCCCCTATCATCCCTTCCCTCCCCACCTCCCCAACTCCTCCCTCTCCCCCCGCCAAAGTTGTAAAGTTCATTTTCAACATAGTGTCTTGTACATCTCATTGTTACAATGGGTCAACCTGTATCCTTATTTCAACATTTTGTTATTTACCTTCCCCTCCCCAAATTAAAAAAAATGTATATACAAGTTTCAGGGCACTGGAATCAAATACAGTGAAAACGGGTTCTACCATGGGGGGAAGAACATACAAAAGAAACAAAAAAAATCACATGGTACATTATAAGTACATTAAAAACAACAGCAAGAAAGATAAAACCACTCACATCTCTATCTTGGGGTCATTTCACTTGGCATCATCTTGTATGGTCATATGTACATAGCTTTTGAGCTTTTCTGCTTGTCCTAGATATATACTAGTTATTGCAAATAAGGGAAACCATGGGATCCATGTTTCTTTGGGCCTGGCTTACTTCACTTAATGTAATTTTTTCCAAGTTTTTCCATTTCCTAACAAATGGGGCAATGTCATTCTTTCTGATGGAGGCATAGAATTCCATTGTGTATATATACCACATTTTTTTGATCCATTCATCTACTGAGGGGCATCTGGATTGGTTCCATATCTTAGCTATGGTAAATAATGCTACAATAACCGTAGTTGTGCTGGTAGCTTTAGTGTGGTCTTGTTTGTGATCATTTTGGTAAATGCCCAAAAGTGGCATTGCTGGGTCATAGGGGAGCTCTATGTGGAGTCTTTTGAGGAAGCTCCATACTGCTTTCCAAAGTGGTTGAACAAGTTTACATTCCTACCAACAATGCAGTAGGGTTCCCTTTTGGCTGCATCCCCTCCAGCATCTGTTGTTATTAGATTTCTTGATTAGATTTCATATTAGATTACTATGGCTTTGTAGTAGAGTTTGAAATTTAGTATTGATATTCCTCCTCTGTTAAGTATTGTTTTTTACTATCTGGGGTTTTTTGGAAGTTCCCTTTTCTTTTCCAGAAGGATTGGAAAGAGCAGAGATGGTGGAGCCCTTAGGACACCTAGAGGGTGGTGTCATGTGACAGATGTATAGAATGGTGTTGATGATAAGGGGCCATGGAAAAAGATCTGGGAGATTGTGTGAGGAGCTCATAAAGTTTGAGACCTGGAAGAGATGTTTTGAGACTTCTTTCCTTCATTCCTTATTTCATGGGAGAAGACTGACTAGTTGCCAGAGAGAGGGAGAGAGGGGACCGGGAGAAGGAGAGAAGTACCTGCTGCCAGGCTATGGTGGCTCGCTCCTGTAATCTTAGCTACTTAGGAGGCTGAGATCTGAGGATTGCAGTTCAAAACCAGCCCAGGTGGGAAAGTCCATGAGACTCATCTCTAATAAACTACTCAGAAAAAGCCAGAAGTGGTGCTGTGGCTCAATTGATAGAGTGCTAGCCTTGAAGAAAACAAGCTCAGGGAGTGCGCCTCAGGGCTGACCAAAAAAAAAAAAAAAAAAAGCACTTGCTAAAGGGTTCCGTGCAAGGCATTGGTACTTGTTTCATAGGTTCTGTGGGTCATAAAAATGAGTAAGTCTTAGCTGGATCCTCTGTTCCATCTGAGTCTTTTAGGATGCAGTCATCCATGTGTTTAGAAGGGCTGTGTTCTCATCCAATGTCTTGATTGGGGGAAACTAGGCTCAGCTTCCCCTCTGAGGCTGAGTCTGGAGGTGCCATGGATTTCCAGTGATGTTCCACACACAAACCTTCCCCACTTTGCACCCAAACTTTTTTTTCTTGCTGCCTCCTGGATGCTGTGGGCTGGTGGTTCACCTTCTCAGGTTTGTGAGCAGAATCTTTTGCATTCCTGCCTTCTCCAGACTTCTACCCTGGAGCAAGTCCCCCCAGTTCATTCTGTTGAGGACTCAAAGGAGTCTGAAGTTTAAAAGAAACTTCATCCTTTTCAAAGGCAGGCTCTATTTCTCCCTCCTCCCCACCTTCCCCCCCCCCACAATAGCTATATAGTTTTCTGATTTATTCTAGTTCCCTAGCACAGAGATCAACCCTTTACCATTCTGATCACCTTCCTCAAATCCCACATTTGACAGTTACAAGGTGAATGCTCAAGATTCAGTGGAATGCATTTGCAGTGAAAACCATTCTAGAATCCATAAAAACCTGAGCTTGCAATTGAGAAGGAATGGATAATGAATAAATGCTTTTAACAAGTATTTATTATGTCCTCCAGGTATGATAGTGAGTGTTGGAGGCATTAGGGACCAGCAAGAAAGAAACCAAAACCACAATCAGCCAGTTCATAAATTATGTAATAGAGCCTTGAATGTGAAAAGCTATATTCAAGGGCATTTTTGTGCTTTAATAATATAAAAGAGCATCTGACCTACTCAGTGGGAGTTGGGAACAGGAGAGATGGTGGTGACATTGCGTGGAGGACTTCCCTAACAATACTTCTACATATAGTAATTTTTGCTAGAACTAGGGCTCCAGGTGTCCCAACTTCAGGTTCAGTGTTCTTTTAGTTCCAACATTTAACTTTGGTTCTCAATTTCTAAACAGGAGATTGGTCCAGAAAGACTCTAAAGATCCTCCTGACAGCAGTATTTTTTCTTTCTTCTTCTCCTCCTCCTGATGGGAGCTTCAAGGAGTCCCTTGTCAGAAGCTTCATACCCATCAATTCTGTCTATCAATTCCACATGTTTGTGGAACAATTCTGATGTGCCAAATACTCTCCTAGGGGATGATAACATGGTGAAGTCCAAATCATTGCTTTTTCTCCTGGAGATGTCCAGGCCTAGAGTACCAGTTAGGTTTACAGAGCTCTCCTCTTTGATCAAATCAATATTTAGGAGTTAGATATGGAAAAAGCAGCAACAACCTGGGGATCTAGGACAAAGCATTGCTTCTTTGAGGTACTGAAGATGTCCTTGGTCTTGGTGATGACCTAGTTCTTCAGGGTTGATACCTTGCTCACCTTCAGGCATAGAATTTAAATGGTATAAGGGATGCTGGGGCCCCTCTAACACAAGCCTAGTATATGGTGGCTTTCATTCATCAGATGTATATGGAACATTGGTCACTATACTGGAGCGAAGTGGGGAGCTATAAACACAGCCTGGGTACAGGATCGATGTTCAGCATACCTTTATTGACTTAGTGGGGAGGATATTGTCCCAATCTGACTGGCCCTATCACGAGTAATGTAGATGAGACGGAGCTGATGATGGTCTGTCTTGAGGGACACTGTGCTCCATTAGGCCCCCAAGACCAGAACCCTGTAGCTAATCATAATAATATTGCACCCATAGGGGCTGAGGACTCAGAAGGGCAAGCATACAGCGAGCCAGAAAGTGAGATGTGATAAAGCCCATTTGTTTCTGCCTAGGTTGATTAGGTAAAAGGCCTTGGTGCCGTGTTGTAAACTATGGTAGGAATTTCAATGAGAGAGGCGACAGTGAAATAGAAAAGAGGTCTGGTTGCAGCAGGGGTGGGGGGTAGGGAAGAGGCGGGGGGGGGGGGCTCTCCTGAGTTTCTAATGACCTACTAGTTGACACCATGGGAAGTCAAGTGGAGGCAGAAAGACCATACTTAATAGAGTTTGGGTGTCATGGGCTGTCAACCTGTTTGTCTTCTGTCTGTTGGGGAGGAGTGGGGTCTGTCTGTGTTATATGCACGGGGCTGGGGAAGCTGGGCCTAGAACGCTTCTCTGAGGATGTCATATCAGGTATCTGACTTTTAGTCAGGGAAGTTGAGGCAAAGCTTTAAGTTTGAATATCTTTATAGGTGGAATTTAATAAGCTAAAATGCAAGCTGAAAGAGACATTTCTCTTTTTCCACATCTTTGCTCTCTGCCAACACCTGTCCCCACCTCATGAAGCCCTGCCACCCACCTGCCCTTGCAACACACCAGGCTGGGCATGAAGCCAACCTTTCTTAGATGAAATTGAGACTGCCAGGTCGGCCGCCCCCCCATCCCTCAGCCAGAGGCTCCACCCTTCTTCCTTCTCTGGGGAGACACAAAGGGCTTCTGTGACTCAAGCAAGATTCACAGAATCCTCTTTCTAGCAACACCAATGAGGCCACAGGGCACATCTCCTGGTGCTCGCCATTGCTTAACTTGCCACTCATCAGTCCTGGGGCAACCCCAGACTACATGCTGACTTACTCTACTCCATTAGAGATCCTTTGGGTCCCCTATTTGGTTCTAGCTAATGTTGTGGGGAGTCTGGTGAGGAGGTGGGGGATTCTAGAAAGAAACATAAAGAACTTTCCATTCACTGTATGTGTATTTTGTTCATGGATCTTGCTCAAATCTTCATGTTGATTCTTGAAAGAAGTGCCCTTGACACAGTTTTGCAGAGTGACAGAGCTCAGAGAATTTGGATAACTTGTCCAAGGTCCCTTAAATAGATGTGATAAGACTCATGCAGATGAACGGACTGGTGCCGGCGCCTTTGCTCTTTCTGTTGAAGGTTTGTCACTTTGGGTTTGGGTCAGTTGGTTCTGCTCCTACCAGGACAGGAGAGATGTGCAGTCTCTTTGCTTTCCTCTCCTCTTTTTAAGAATCTTAACTCTGCTACTGAGATCCCTGCTGACTTTAGACACTGATGTGGTCTGGTTTAGGGGGCAGGTGACTAGGGAAATATTCCTAATTTTGTCTCTGTCACTCAGCCATCTGGCACATGAACTTTCTTCCAGTCCTCAGGTTTTAATCCCTTTACCTGGGCTTACTGGTTCAGTACATACAGGGAAAAGATGGCCTGGGTTAGTACTAGCCAAAGGATCTTGGATAAACTACTGGAACTTTCTGTGCTTTAGAAAATTCCTCATACCTACTTCATGTGTCTGTGTTGAGGGTGAAGGATGTTTGTACGTATGAACCTTGTAGCATAGTTCTAGGTACGTTTTATAGTCTTATTATTCTTAGATGTAAAAATTCCTGAAATTTTAGCGAAATGAGCTCCCTTCCCATAGCTTAGTCCACTCCTTCCCTTCTCCACAGCTTAGCATGCTCCCTTCCTAGGCAACACTAGGCCCATGTAGTAAAGGCAGTAATCTGCCTCCACCCCCCTTTACCTTGGGATGGCACTTTTCTGGGCAGCTACCACCATATAAGGCAACAGGAGCCCCTTAAAGTGACCTTCAGGTCTGGGCAGTTGCAGGACCCCTTACCTACTATTTGGACAGCAGCCATACATCCTAGTCTGCCATGATGAAGCCCCTGGCCCCCACGTCAACACCAGGGTCTCCACCTCCTAGCCCCTTCTAGCCCCTCCTAAACCTCCTACGTTATATAGGTCACCCCAGACAATGGCCGGGGCTTCTCACTTTTCCCTTGTGACAAGGAGTCTTGCTGGCCCCCTTTCCTGGCAATAAACATTTCTTTTTTCTCTGTACCTGGATGTTCTTGTGATTCTCTGGCAACATCTAATTACTCTTTCACAAACCAATACATAGTAAATGATACATTTAGAATTTAAAAGAGGAGTGCTACCCACTCATTGTTTCTTCTCTGATTTGTGCCTTTCCATATGCATGACACAGAGCTAGCAGGTAGTGATGGGATTGGATTATAGTGATACTGAAAAGTCTTACATGCCCTATGTCTCAAACTTCTTAAGATGTAAAAAATGCAGCTTAAACATTTTTATATATTAAATGTTTTATGAAAAACTAAATTTGGACCCATTCATTCGAACTAAAATTTGTCTGGGTAAAAAAAGAACAAAAATGTACAAAAGTGTAATTTCCCCCTAGATATGCAGATTTGTCGATCATTTGGGGACATCCAAGAGACAGGATAGGCAGAAGAGTACAGATGCTGCCTCCCAAACCCTTAGTTCTAAAGGATTAAGTTTAGAAAGCAGCAGAGAGACTGTGGGGTGAGTGGAGAGACAGAGAGGGGAGGGAGGGGCATGGGGAGGAGGCAAGGTGGGTTAAACAATGGTCTTTATTCATCTTTCTGCAGTGCTGCCTTAGCACAGCCTAGCTTAGCCTGGCAATGTAGGGCCTGAAAAGTTAATGAACTGTAAAAATTGAGGGGATCCTAGGCCAGGCCAGATCTGCCCATGGTGAGGGCGGGGGGAGGGGGTATATATGTGTGTGTGTGTGTGTGTGTGTGTGTGTGTGTGTGTGTGTGTGTGTGTATACATATGTTTATATATATGTATATGTTTTACAAGTCACTTTTGTAACTTGGTCTTTGATTGGTGCATTAAAAAAGAAGCATGTAACATTAATATTAGTTCTTTAACCTAATATATCTAAATATTATATCAGGACACAACATAAAACTTAGCAATGAAGTATTTTGCATTGTTTCCTTATCCCAAGTTTCTGAAAGCTGGGCACTTACATTTTAGGTAGAACGTATCTCATTTTGAGCTGAGATACATTTCGAGAGCTCAGTAGCTATCCATGATCAGTGGCTTCTACACTGGCACAAGGAGCTTTCATCTGCTAAATCAGGTTACTCTTACTTCCTGGATTTCTGGAGTGAAAGGAAGGAAAGAGTGCAGTCATTCTACTAGGAATCAACATGGGAAGGGGGTTCCCCAAGGTCAAGGCTTCCTCTATCCACTGCATCTTTGTCTTTTATGGACATTATAAGGTCCATCTCACATATATTCAGAGTCTAAGACTTGTAGGATCATTGACGAATGCCAAGGCATGAATATAAAATGTACTCATCCACAAATGCAAGTGGCCTTGATCTAGCCAGTATCAGCTCTGCAGTGTAGCTCTGTGACTTTCTCCTTGGTATGTCTTGTCTGTTAATGCTTCTGATGCTGTTAACAATTGTCTATGTGGGGGGAAATCAGCTACCTTCTGGTTCTGGTGGTGAAAAACAAATGTGGGTTATATATGTTAAGTAAATCTTTTGTGCTGACATACCAGTTTTACAGGAAAAGCTGTATGTTATAAGAGTGCTCACAGAGTTACAGGTTCAAGAAACTGTTCTATGCTCAGAAATGCTATGTTCTTTTACCCTGTGTGGTCAGTACTCTAGAATTCTTTGCATGACAGAGAAATGGTTTCTTGTGTCTGGAGATGATTAAATCTCTTGGGCTGACTAGCATATATATTCTTCTCTAGCAAGTGTCTTCCATTTTTTTTCAAGACCAATCCTGCCCCGCTTAAGCTGAACCACCATGTTCTCTCTCCTGGGACTCTGAATTTTGGGACCAGTGATGTAATAATGGAAAGTAAGTTGAGTCATTTCAGTTAGACAAGAGTGTGTTGAGTGTCTGTGAACCTCCCTGGCTCCCACAGAGAGGCCCAGTTGACCAGCTTTTCTTTCTATCCACTGACCTCTTGTGTATCCTCCAAATGGATTCTTCCTCCTCTCTGCTTCTGAATTAGAGAGAGCCTGTTTCTGTTGGTCTAAGCCAAATGCAAGTGGATGTACATTTTGATCAGCAGTTGGGATAGGATGTGGCTCAAGATTGTGCAGCCTTGGGAAGGCCAACAGAAAAGGAAAGGGGAGAAGCCTTACTGTGTGCTGGCTATTTTCTTGTCTCTTCTCTCCCTTTCTCTTACATATTCTGGGAAATAGTGCTTTCTACATTGAAGTAGTGTGGCTTACCCAAGTTCAGAAGCATCAGAGAAAGACTTGGTACAGGCCAGCCTGCTGCAGGCTCCACAGTACTGTTTTCAATGCCAAGAGAAATCTGGCAGATAGTGATCGCTGGGCTGCATTTTTCTGGTCATTTCCATCTCTTGGGACTTAAAAAAAAAGATCAAGGCACCAATGGCTAACTCCTGTAGCCTACTAGTAAGGCTGAGATAAGGAAGATCAAAGTTCCAGGTCAGCCCAGGCAGAAAAGTCTATGAGACACCATGTCAATGGAAGAAGCTGGGCATGATGATGAGTGTTTTATCATTGCCTAAAACAGGCGGATCACACACAGTCCAGGTTTGCATCTGGGCAGAAAGTGAGACCCTATCTCAAAAATAATCAGTATAAAAAAACCACAATGGCAAGAATTATATTTCAGCAGGAAGGATGCTTGTTGATTTAGGGTCTGCTCTTTGGGCTTCTAATTAAATATCCTATTCACTCTAATATTTGTTGTGTGGTTCCTGGATCAGAGTCATTGCCACTAGTTGCTTAGAAATGTAGACTCTTAAGCCTATTCTGGACGTGCAGATTTAGAATCTGAGTCTTATTGGCATCCCTGATTTTTTGGGCAGTGTTGCATAGTATTGCTCTGGGTTTCCAAAGGAAGCAGTGGTTCACTAAAGTTCCACTTTATTCAATCAAAGGGCCCTTCAGTGCTGAGGATTATCCCCATGTATTATGAAATTCAGGCTCTTTATGTTTTCAGTAAACCTTCACAGCTAATTAATTGTAGAGATTCTTGTCTATCGAGAATGGAAAACAATAAGCATGATCCTAATCAGCGAGTTTATTCATCATGGCTCCTTTTCAACATTTATATTCAGATTTTTGTTCTCTACAGCATACTAAGTTTCGAGGTGGCTTCATGGCTTTGTTTTCCAAGACACAAGACTGTTTGTGTCTTAATGTGACTCAAGGATGCTATTGCCTCTTTCTCCAGTGTAGTTGGAAAAGGAAGACTATCTCTAGTTTCCACATTTCATAGGAGAGGGAAATAGGTTCTGGGGAGATGGGAGCATTTGCTCATCTCAGGATCTAAGCAAGCACCAGGCTCAGGGGAGGGTGAGAGAGGCATTGAGTCACAATAAGAGCCTGGAGCTACTCTCTGTAGGGTAAGCTGCCTCTCTCCCTCAGCAGTCTATGCACAGGTAGACAGCTGAGCCTCACCTGTGTGCACCCTGAGACAGAGGTCTGGGAAGCAGTGCATGAGTTAGGTCAGGCAGATATAATGGTACTGAAGGGTCATTTTGAGAGAAAAGAGTTTCTAACTCATTCAGGACCTATTATTTCTAGCATTGTAAGTTTTTCAACATATGCCTTGTGAAATAGCTATTACCACTGGCACTTTTACAGATGTGGAAGGTGAGGCTAGTGGAGGTTAGAAATTCACCTCAGATCACACTAGACTAGGCCTTCACACACACAGCCAGTGCTGGTCAGTCTTATCCCCTGCCTTGCCAGCTGCCCAGGATTTCTGATTCCCTTATGCCTAAGGCCAGGCTCCAAGTAGCGGTGATGGCTGGGTTACAGAAAGAGATGAAATGGCCTCAGTTGTGTGTGGGAGATACACAAGGTAGAAGTGGTTGGTCAAGGTCACAAACCCAGAGGAGTGGCTCAAATGGAATGCAGACACCAGATTTAGTGTTGGGACATTCACTGACTTGCTCCCAGACAGAGTGGGACGAGAACTTCTCTGAATTGTGTTGGGGTCTAAGCGGGGGGGGGGGGGGGGGGGGGGGGGGGGGCGCGGAGGGGAAGCCTAGGAAGTCTGTTGCTATAGTTGGTGGCGGGGGCGGAGGGAGAGAGAAAGCAGAGGTTGGAGAGAAACAGAGGACAGAGGTGGGGATGGAGCCAGATGTGAGGAGTGGCAAGCTCCGTCAGAGCAAAATAGCAGCTTCACCACTCATCAACCGGGCAAAGCACACACATCTGGCAGCGAGTGCTCCTACAGGTCAGGAATTAAAGCCTGGTTCTTTCCCCAGGGTAAGCCTATCCTCAAGCACTCACACTAAAAAGCCAAAGAGCAAAACAGAGTTTGCAATTTGCCTATTTTGGTGACCCTCACAGCCAACCTCAAGGGTCATGTCTGACGTGTACCAACTCACCCCAGAGCATCCAGACTCCTAGCTGCCATTTCTGCCTTCACCTCCCCAACTCAGCCCTGAGCTTTTCTCCAGAACTTCCTGTTTGCCTCATCTGGCTCTACAGACCTACTGGTCCCACCCAGGGTCATCTGGAGGGTACTCAGGGCATGGGGTGCAGGTCACTGGACTACAAATCCTCTGGGCTTTACCACTCCTATGAGACCCTACAGAGAGAAATGAGAAGTATTCTATATCCAAGTCAATTCACAGGAAGGTCAAGGTGACCCAGAAGAACTTGCAAGGCCAGATTTTTTTCTTCATTTTTTTTTTCACCTTCCAAAAATGCCAAACAAATGATGACTTCAGGACATGGCGTTCCAGAGAAAGTGGGAGAGGAACTGAGGAGATGGAGAAACATCGTGCATCCAGTCCGCATGAGGTCTTCCAGGCTCTCTAAGGCATGTTACGGTGCTCAAAAGACCACAGGTTCTCAGTCTGCAGAAGCCATAAAAAGGGACAGAATGCATGTTCCCAGAGGACAGGGACTGTCAACACTGGGGCTGGAAAAAGTCCAGCATGGGCCAGGAACATGTTGCTCCTACAAAGCAGAGTTTCCGGGCGGTAACACCACTGTCTAGAGGGCAAGGCTGAGGTCATCAGGGGCAAGGAGCAAAGATCTGTCTGTTCTGACTGGCCTTGGGCTGCTTTCCACACGTCTCTCCCTTCATAAGAGTTTAGACTTCCAAGGGGTTTCCATTGTCCAGTCCGTCACAGACTGGATGGGGAAAGGATGCTAAAGGTAGTCTGTGCAGGAAAGTCTATGGAGTGCCAGACTTGAGTGAAAAAGCTAAGGGACGGTGCCTGGGTCCTGAATTCAACCCCAATACCAGCTCTCTTCACACACACACACACACACACACACACACACACACAGCTGGAAGAAAAACCTTTTGTGATGTCATTGGCCACCCACCCTTTGAAAGATGAGTCTTGCCCCTATGCTGGGCAAGCAAGAAACTAGTCTTAAGGTGGGACAAAAACAGTAGCCAGGCATTGGTGGCCAATGTCTGGAGATCCAGGTTCCAAGCCAGCCTAGGTAGGAAGGTGAGAACTAGACTGTACTCAACAAACTGAGCTGTGCTCAGCCTTGAGGAAAAAAAATTCTCAGGGACATCACCCAGACACTGAGTTCAAGCCCCAGGACCAGCCCAAAACAAAAAACAAAATCCCAACCCCCATCTGACACCAATGACTTCATGGCCAGAGTTGGACCACCACGGACCACCATGAGGAAAAGTGTTGTATCTTACTTAACAATTCAATACCATCCAGATCTTACCCAAGCCTGTCAGCTTAGAAACCAGTTCCCCTCCTCCCCCAAACCAAAAGATCCAAGAAAAATTTTTTTCCCAAGTTTTATTGAGATGTTGGGGGAGAAACAGCCCACATATACATTCTTCATTTCCGTCATTGTCTGTTGCTTTGATCTAACGTGAGGTCTCCTTGGCCGTCTCCCTCATCATCTTGTTGCTGCCCCATGGTGGTCGAAGTTCACCGGGGCAAGGCTCTGTGGCTGGTCACAAATGGGAGCGATGCTTGTGATGGCCTGGTTGGGGGGTGGGGGGGAGTGAGGAGGGCAGGTTGGCAACAAGGATCCTTTTCAGCATCTGCCCATTTCAAAGCTCGTTCCCACCCCCACCCCCCACCAAACCCCACCCCAAACCAGGGGTGTGACCAGGGCCCCAGCGGCCTCTCACTCACCATCATCACCATGTTTCCTACATTTTAGGCTGACCTTCCGGCATTTTTTTTTGTTGCTGCTCCTTTTGACACCTTTGTGAGGAGATCGGTTCTTGGCCCTCCTCGTGCCATGACTCTTTGACTTACAGCTGGTCGACATTGCAATTTCTGCCAAAATGAGGGCCTTAGCGAGGCTGTGAAGCCTCTGCGTATTTAAGGCCTCCGCCTATTATGACTGAGAAAGGGGCGTGGCTTAGAAGCTGGGCGTGGCAGCGGGCCCTTCAGTACAGCTCAAAGCTGGCCTTCAGTTTGGGGAGGGTGAGGGGCTTTTAGTTTAAAGGAGGCTTTCCGGAGGGATTGTCATTGAACAACTCAATCTGGGCCCTGTGCTAGGCATGGGGGAGGGGAAAGAAGGGGGAAATAATACAAGTGATCATTAAAGTGTGTCTCCAGCCTGTAGAACATTTAAGTTATTGTGGGTGTGTGTATGTGTGTGTGTGAGAGAGAGGAGTGTGTGTGAATGATTGAATCTGATAGTAACAAATGTTATTTCCATAAGCACTGACTTGGAGAGCTAAAGCCATGCCACCAAAAATATAAATTATCCTTCTCAGGGTTTCTCAAATCTTGCCATTTTAGACACCATGGGACTGGGTAAGTTTTGGTGGGTTGTCCTGGATATTGTAGGATTTGACAATAACTTCTGGCTGGATATTAAAGGGCAGAACACTGTCATATGGTACCCTTTTTTTTGGTGGGGTGTTTCCTGGGGAAAAGGAAAATCACCATGACTAAGAACCATTGGCTTGATAATTAAAATGTAATCATATGTATTGCTTGTAATGAGTATCCCATGCTCCATGAACTTAGGTGCTAGGAAGAGTGGTAAAAAACAAGTATGGATCTTATGGACATCGAACTTTCACAAACTGGATAATTTCTTTGGTGGTTAAGAGACTGTGGGAACTTTACAAAATGGTACAAGTTGGAAAGGCTGACAGAGACCCAACTCTCCTCAAGTATATCGGAAAGCTCCAGAAAATGTTGAGAACCTCATGGATGTGCTGAGAGACGGCTCTGTGAGTGATTATTCAGTTGGGAAACTGAGTGAGGGGAGAGGCTATGTCCACAGCAGGGCCTCAAGAGGAGGGACTTGATAGTGCTGTAGAACTGAGTTCAGGACGTCTTTGGGATGTAGAGGTAGACAATGGACTAAGTCTTAGGATGGGTTGGGAGAGAGCAGATGATATAGAGGGCGTGGCTTTTGTTTCTGTGTGGTACAGCTATATGGATGCTTATGACACTGGCTAGGATAAGACTGAGAATGACAGTGATGATAATTAAGATGTACTGCATTGGATTTGAAGTGCTTCTGAGATTTCCATGTATGCATAATGACAATTGAGTATATGAGTCTTATAGATTTAGCCAACTTTTTCTTCTTCCTCTGTAACTCTATAAAAAAAACTTCAATAGAACTATTCCTTTTGTCTCTCATTCTTTCCCCATAACTGTTTTCCTAATTTAAGAAAAGAACATCTCACATGCATTTGCTAGGCAACCATGCTACCACTGAGCCATCCCTCCAGCCCTTGTATGTCTGATATCTATAGATGTCAACATATCTTTTGTATTCCAGATTCCTTCAATGGCCACCATGAGTGACATTTTTCCATGTTTCAAGTTCCTGACTGTTGGTGCTTTTATTATAAAGAGGGAGGGGGCTTTACAAAGCAGGCTCTTGCCTTCCTTGAATCTCAGGAGAGCTCCTGTCCAATAGTTAAGTTCCAAAGCAGGGACTTCCATAAAGTCAGGAATTTAGGGATTGTATTCACCCCTGTGTAGCTCTGCATACAGAATAGGATCTCAGTCTTTGTGGAATACATTTGTTGAATAAATAAAAAGGAACCTTTTCTCTTTCTTTCTTTCCTTCTTTCCTATCCTATTCCCCTCTATTTTGCCCCATAGTTCCCAGGAAGACTTCTACTCACCAAATTTACTCAAAATCTATTGTCCCCGTAACATTGGCCATCAAGTCTAGTTAACAAACTCTTGTGGGAAACCCTATTTGGTGTCCAGATTGCCATGTATATTGCAATTAGTCTCAACAGGAAGTGATGTGTCTTAGTTCTGTTCCTAACTGGACTTCCTTGGTTTAGAAATCAGCAGGCTGAACTAGATGGTCCCTGAGATGCGTCGGCTCTGGTGGTGGTGGTCTCATAGTTAGAGATGGGTTCTTTTTTCCTTCTATACTTCCTACAGGTGGTAGCATGAACTACAGAAGATGGTCAGTAAATATTTGTGCAGTCTAGCCACTTTGGTCTTTTATAGGAACAGAGAGTCCAATCCAATCACAGATTGACTGTACAAGTGGCAGCATTTCTGAACAGCAAAAGGAGGAAAGGAGATTGTCTCTCCATCTTACTCCTCTGGTGCTCACCTCTGATATCTGACTCTGCAGGCTAAACTGCTTCAGAGGAATTGGTCTTTCTGGCTTGAGAGACGTTTTCTGGGTGGTCCTAAAGATTGTATATTCTCTGGTTCCTTGCCGCCTCCACCCCCCACCCCCAGACCTGCTCTGCGAGGAGAAGCTGAGATCACAGGCAAGAAGGCAGAAGGATTTGAGAAATGATGAAGAAACAAACAAACAGAAAGGTCTCCTTTGCTCAGTTGAGCAGAGGTCCTGGTGGCAGACACCCATGCTGAGAAACTTGAGCTGTAGAAAGCCCCGTGTGGGGAGCCGATTGAGAGGCCAGGGAAGGGTGAGGCTGGGGGAGTATTTGGGTTGGCTCTTGTATTGGACCTCCTGGGGTGAGGACGGAGCAGGGTTGAGTATCAGCCACTTCTGCCGGCTCTGTTTCTCTTTCCATTTCTGCCCCATGAGCCAACAGGCAATTTAGATGGAGTACTATGAGCTCACTCTTGACTTCTTAGCAAGCCCAGAGTGAGCTCTTTCCTTAAGGGCCATCTGTTAGCTTGATAGGATATACCCACTGTCTCCTTACCTTTTCTTCTTTATTCTTTTCATGTGAAAGTAGGCACAGAAAGGACACTGGGGCTATGTAAGTAACTCAGTAGAGGAGGAGAGGCAGCCCAGTCAACATCACCTTACCTAATGGAAGCTAGCTTTTGTTCCTTCTTGTGGATTTTCTTCTGGTTTTAGATTTGTTTCTGATTGATTAATTGACATGGATATTGTTTGATAGTTGTTGGCAGAAAGAGAGGTGGGAGGGAGGGAGAGGCAGTGTTTCTAGCCTTTGTAGAAGTTACCAACTACTGAGTTCTTGGGGTTGAGTGTGTCTTGCTAGGCCCAGGTGGATGGACTGCATGGTGTCTTTATCTCCTAAGAGGACAGCCAAAGTTTCACTGCAGGGAAGGGCTAGGAGGCCAATTCTTCTAGAATAGGGCTGGCCCCAATCTTAGGTTAAAAAGGGCAGGCACAGGGTGTAATTATTTTGGAAGTCAGACCTCTAGTTGGAGCCTGTCTCACCTCTCCAATTCAAATTCACTCTATTAATTTTCCTGAGAAGCCCCATAGACAGTTTCATGGGGTTGGATCTGCCCAGCAAGCTGGGACTTGGAGTTTATTAAGAAGGAACACGGAAAAATTGCTGACAGGCCTTATGCATGCTCATGACTCAGTCTGAATCCCTCTCTGAAATCTAAATCTCTCCAGATGTTGACCTCAGCTGGGGAGTGGGGATCTTCTACCCTGTTTGCACACACACTCTCCTGTACTATTGTGGATGCTGCTGTTGCTCAGACAGGGAAAGGACACTGGGACAAGCTGAAGGAGGTAGAAATGTCTGGGAGAGGGACCTCACTAAGGGGGAGAGCTTTCTGAGCCTGGAACATATATCTGGCACCTTTAGTGGGGAATCAAGTGTTGGGAGACCCAGGCCAAGAAGTAGATTTCAGAGAAGAAACAAAGGGGATCTTGACCCTATTCACTTTTCCCACTTGGTGCTGGAGAATCAGGGCCATGTTGGTTCTGAGGATGGTCTGGATTCTACCTAAATATCTGTTGTTCTTTTCCAGTTCTCTGCTGCTATCTGTTATATTCTTTCTACTGAATTCTCAAATTATCTTCCCACAAACAACCCCTAATATTTTAGAAAGAGATATTGGGCTGCCTAAAGGTCAGAGATGTATCACAAGAGTAGTGACAATGAGGGATGCTCAGGGACCTTGCTCTGCCCTTCTTTGAAGGGTCTCAGTTTGTCTAATGGACTGCACCTAGGTAGAAGAGTCAGGGGTGAATCCAAGACTACCTTGCCTTCCCTACTGGTATCTGGCATTGACTATCCCCTTTGCTTGTCATGTCTCTCATCTGGGTGCTATTAGGATCCTAGCAAATGAATCTCACATTGAAGGTGGGGGAGGAGAGGAGAACTGGGTAAAAATAGTATATTCCGTTTAGAGGCCGGTTGTAAATCTGGAGGCCCTGTGGACAAACCAGAAGTTCTTGTTTTGAAAATATAACAAACTTTCATCTGATTTTTAGTTATTTTTGGGCTTCTGAAAAATTACTTATTTTCAGCCCCCTTTCCCTCCCAAATCATCACTAACACAAAGGCCTCATGTGGTGAGACACCAAGAAAATCCAAATTTTATGCTTCATAAGGCTCTGAATAGTTTTCCCTCCTCCATCACTTTAATACACCTTTAATACTACAGAAGATGTCCCTTCCCAGAACACACTGGGAATTCTTAAGCTACTGGCCAAAGTACAGCTGCATGTCTAGGGTGTTAGAAAGGGGAATTATAATACGAAAATAGCACACATGTATTAAACCATTTGGCCTCATTTTGTGTTAGGAATGAATGTGTTTTGATCCATCTACCAACCAGTGCAAGAAAATTGGAATTAGTTGGCCTTCCATTTTTTTTTTTTTTTTGGGTCTGGTCGTGGGGCCTGAACTCTGGGCCTGGGCGCTGTCCCTCAGCTCTTCAGCTCAAGGCTAGCGCTCTACCACTTGAGCCACTTCCGGCTTTTTTCTTTTTGCTTATGTGGTTCTGAGGAATCGAACCCAGGGCCTTATGCAGGCGAAGCAAGCTCTCTACCACTGAGCCATCTTCCCAGCCCAGTTGGCCTTCCATTTGAGGCATGTCTCATCCCTATTGCTTTTATTGTTTGCTTTTCTTTTTAAAATAAGGTTT